CCCCCCATACACATGAAAAAATACACACACACACACACACACACACACATAAAATTCCCAGTCCACAATATAATTCCCAGTCTTAACTTCAGTATACCGCGAGCTGTGGCTCGCGGTATACTGAGACGCCGCAGCATACCACGAACTGCTGCTCGTGGTATATTAAGACGCCGCAGCTGAAGCGGATCCCGACAATTATGTCTGGATCCGCCCAGCTGCGTCACTGACAGCAGGCTCTGCCTATCTAGAGGTAGAGCCAGCTGAACCAGCCCCCTCCCACTAGTCAGCGCTGGCGGATCATAGCGGGGAATCCAGCCCCTCCCCTGCCACGGCAGAGAGCCGTGACAGGATCGAGAAGTGAGCGAGCGATGGTATGTGTTCGCTCACCTCCCGATCTACTGAGCCGACCTTTGACAGTCTCATTGTCACAGGTCGGCTAGAACTATGAGGTGAGTGAAAAGCACTCCTCATAGTTCTCCTTTAGGGTACTTGAATGTATTTTTAGGATTTAACGCCTGAGTTTAGTGTCACTAATTATACAGCATTTACAATGTATCACGTACATTACATGCCTCAGACATACCATGGCCTGCACTGCACTTGCATTATTTTCCACCCATTGTAGACCCGTCACCAAACTTGATCTCTTGGCCTTTGTTTGTATCAGCTTGTGTTTGGCACTGATGTACGCCAGCTGAAGTCTCATCATTTCCTTACACTTGCCCTCAAGCACAGGGTCATCTCCGCTGTTTCCATCGAGCTGAACAAGCTGAAAGTCATTCTCTGAACCCTCAATACATTTAGAGAGGCCCTCAAAGAAATGCTCCTTAGTAAAGAGAGTCAAGGCATTGGTGCTTTGTTCTTCACAAGATAAATATTTGTCTAGGAGAACCTGGAAGAGGAAAATTGGAGAGGACGCTGTGGAACCTTTTTCCTGAGGCACATAAAAGGACATCAGCTTTTGAATTCCTTCAACAACGGTCTGGAGCTCATGGTTCAGCTTGTTACTTGTGACTTGCAGGTCATTCAGGGTTTTGTTCAGTAATTTGGCCTCCTCGTCTTCCCGATCTTTGAATTTCAGACACGAGTGGACATTGGCAGATCCGATCATCTGAAGCTTGTTACGCCTTTGTAAATGCAGACTTCGTTGGCTTTTCAGGGATTGAAGCTCTTCCTCGAGCTTCTCAATGGCCACTTCTTCCTTAGCAGTGGCTTTTGAGCTAGCTGGTTTGAAAGTCTTCATGACTTCATCTAAAGCTTTGTCATCCAGGAAAGCTTTGCCAGAGTCCTTTAACTCTTTAAAGGCCTGTAGTTTTTCTTCCGACAGCACATTTTGTTGTGTTACAGTACCACAAAACCAATCTAGAAATGCTTTGGCATCGGTGGTTTCAAACAACCAGTCAAAGTCTTCTGCTTCTAGCTTGGAGGCATTGGGATATCCCAGCTTTCGCAAAGTCTGGACAAATCGATCCCCGGCACTCATGGCGGCCAGTATTCGAACCCTGCAAATAAGCAAAGTACAAAAATAGTGAAAGGACTACAATCAGAACAAAAATCACAGGTATAATCTCAGATCACATGCAGTTATTGATCTGCCTGAATGCTAACTGCAGTAATATGCAATCACAAGTTTTCGGACATCTCTGTGCTTGCTCTGAAGTGGAACCATAGGCAAACCATCAAAAGTGGGATGTCTTCACTCAACTTCTGTCCTAACAGCCACACTCTAGTTCAAGAGTAACCAAACTTTGGGCCTCCAGCTGTGATGAAATTACAAATCTCATTATGCATCTACCCCCGAGAGTCATGCCTCTGGCTGCCAGAGCCTTGCAATGCCTCATGGGTCTTGGCTACCCCTGCTCTAGTTGAACGCTTTTTTCCTTGTGTAGTCAATCAATAAGGATGGGCTAAAGGAGTGTGCAGATGTGGCTTTGGCTCATCTCAGAGGAAGCAATAAAAGGAACATATCCTATACAGGATGTCTCCTTTAGTCACTAACCCTCTCCCGTGTGCCCCCCTAGAACTAGTTTCACTTTGGTACAGCCTTCCACAATGTCAAAGTTGACCCCAGTCAAATGAGTGTCTTAGGGACCGGCAGCAATGGTTACTCAAGGGAATAGCAAACTGGGGGGAGTTTTTGTCTTGAAGTCAGGCCCCTAGCTTCAAAGAGAAGTACAATGGAGGATGGTAATAAAAGGTAATAGAAGGCCCGGCTATGGTTTATGATTACCAAAGTATTTAAGAACACTGACATTTGATACAATATACCACACAAGTGGAAATTTGCCTAGAGCAACCAGCTAACAACATTTATAAGAAAAAGGAGTATTCTGTGAGATTTCCTCTAACTTCCTGTGAAAGAGAAATAGGAGGGGTAGCCGGGAAGGAGAAAACGAAGGGGCAACTGGGGAAAAGGACAACAGCGGGGCAGAGGGACAACCGCACGGCAATCACGGAGCAGAGGGGGGCAACCATGGGTCAGAGAGGGACAACCATGGGTCAACCGCGGGGCAGAGAGGGACAACCATGGGTCAACCGCAAAGCAGAGAGGGACAACCATGGGTCAACCGCAGGGCAGAGAGGGACAACCATGGGTCAACCGCGGGGCAGAGAGGGACGACTGAGGAGCAGAGAGGGACAACCATGGGTCAGAGAGGGACAACTGGAGGAGCAGAGAGCGACAACCATGGGGCAAAGAGGGACAACTGGAGGAGCAGAGAGCGACAACCATGGGTCAGAGAGGGACAACTGGAGGAGCAGAGAGCGACAACCATGGGGCAAAGAGGGACAGGGGGATTTGGTTCCAGAACAAGGACAATTCCCGCATATGGGAACAGATGAGAGCTAGGCCTCAGCTGCTGGGAGCTGCCCAGATAGATAACACCCCACCCTCGGACTCCTTTATGGGAAGTGTACTACTGAGACAAATAACTTTTCTAGCATATTGGGGGAAAACAGCCGCTAGAAGCGGACTGGTTGCTATGGGCAGTGAATAGGTTTTCCTTCAGCACCTTCATTTTTGATCCAGCCGTGTTCCAGAGTATAAGACGTACCTAATACACACTGCAACAGGCGCTTTCCTTTTTCCCGCTGATCCTTCCGTAAGGCAACGCCCACCGCTCTACGTCATGCCTACGGACCGCGAGAGCGACCATAAACATAATAAAATCCCCGCTTGGTGGATACGCGCTTTGACAGAACTACAGTTTATTACACACGACCCTTGCGCCGCCATACCTTACCATCCCCTGCAACGAAGCCAAGGGAGGGTTGGGGATCCTAAGTGACACACACAAGAAACTTCTATTGATTGTGGGAGGAGCAAAAAACTTGAGCGAGCTGGGACGCACGGTTGTGGGCGGAGCGATCTCAGTAGCGGAGAACGCGAACGAGCGAGGGCGCGCAGCAGTTCCTATGGTTACGTCACTGTGCTCTTCCCGCCCTCCTGAGGTGTAGAAGTCGGTCGGTGAGGTGTATGGGAGGAGTGTGGTCACAGCTGATGAGATTGTGTAGTTAGTTAACTGACACGGTGAGATGTGCGGGACTGGCTGTCAGGGGGTTGGGATTGGTGTCCTGCCACTAAATTGTTTATCACTTACACTGGACTTCATTCTTTAACACTTAACAGCCCATTCACACTAAGTGACATACCTTTTGCAGCGGATCCGCGTGGCCGGGATAGCGCAACTTTCGGGGCGACGGTAGCGCGACCTTCTCCGTCGGGCTCCATTAGAAAAAAGCAAAATCCGCCAAAAAAAGGGTCCTGCGACGAGCGACATGGAGCTAAGACAGCTCCATTGAGTAGCTTTAGCCGGCGACTTTTCGCGATATCGCGCGGCAAAAATGCGCGATATCGTGGCGGAAATCGCGCGATAAATCGCTTAGTGTGAATGGGGCCTTAAACTTAATTTTCAGAGCTGGATTTCTCGTTTACACAAAGTCAGGGCCGTTCCTAAGGCAACCGTTGCCTGAGGCGATTTGGTTCCGGGTGGGGTGAGCTGACACAGGTAATGGTCACTCACTGACAGGTTCACTCGTCGTGTGGAGCAGCGGCGGACGCCGAACCGCGCTGTTGCTAACTACACTGGCTGCCAGGAGCTTAGCGGGATGCAAAATCAGAACATCCCGCTGGGCTCTAGGCAACCGGTGATGTCATTCAACTGGGCAGATGCCAGAGAGAACGTCATAGCAACCTGGGACTCAGTGGCCACCCCCAATGAGATGCCGTTTGAGGCAATTGCAGACGTTTTGGCATAGAGTGTAAAATGCGTCTCTGTATGTGGCACCTGGGAGCGGCCGCAGCTGTGTTTTTCTGTCCGTGGGAATGTATGGATAATGGACAGGACAAACTGTACACTTGTGAACATGAAACGTACACCCGTATGTGTGCAAACACATGTCCATGCTTGCCCCAGTATCATGTACCTGTTGGAAACTCATCATTACTGAGCTCGCTACCCGGGCCACTGCACAGGCGCAGTGATGGAGGACTCATACAGTGAGTGGGGCGGAGCCTGATGGGGATGCTGAGGTACTAGTTCCTCATCTGGTCTGCTCTGCTGCTGATTGACAGCAGGCAGTGGACCAATTCCGTAGTCTGCTATTAGCTATACAATCTGCCTGCTGTACATGTTTTTACGTGTTCCCATTCAGATAGTGCTGCTATGTGAATGGAAACATGTAACAAATATATAGTAGGTGTTCTCCCAGTATGGCTGCAAAAGTGGTAATACACTTTAAGTGATGGTGGAGAAAGAACCTGGTGATCCTGCTGCTGACAAGGTTAACCCAGGTGTCCCGTGTGCAACAACTTTCATCAGCTGCTATTGAAGTGGCTGCTTTCCCAGCAATGTCGGCGCCCAGGAACTGCTATGCTTTATTATGTATTCAGAAGCGGCACATTGGACTCTTTATTGTGCATGTCTGCGCTCCGATAACGCTCGGTAAGTGTTGGTGCCCCTGATATCTTCACCCATAGATCACCAGGGAAAGGACCAGCACATAGTTAGTGGTCCTGTGACCACAAATAAATACAAGTAAAAAGGGTATTCTTTTTTTTTTGTGTACACCAATGCACCACCATGGAGTGACCTTAAACAATAGGATATAAAGCAAATTGCATTGCTATTGGGACTGCATTGGGCAGTGCAGTCCAAGGCGGCTGGCGTGAATTGCCCTTGAAGGAAAACTGTATCTTAATATACTTCCTACCCCCTGAGTGCAGCCCTACTGGTTACATACTAAAGGTGCCCATACACTGCACGATTCTCGTACGAGAATCGTGGGAAATCCTGCGATCGTACGAGAATCGTGCAGTGTATGGAAGGCGTTTCTACTGTACGGTCGCACGTCTTCCGTCGAACCAGCAGGCTAGAAAACCTGCCGGGAATCGTACCATTCTCAGCGAGTTAGTGGCCTGCTGGTTCGACAACTGCCGAACGGGCCAGTGTGCGCACGCGCACACAGCCCGTTTGCAGTCATCTTAAGCCCGCCCCTCATTGCGGTCATGGTAAGCCCGCCCCTCAGGGGGGCGGGCTTGCGATGATCGAGAGTACGATCTGCCTGTCCAAGATGGGAAGATCGTACGTTTTTTTAATCACTTTACAACCATCGCAAGACTAAGGTCTTGCGATGGTTGTACAGTGTATGGCCACCTTTACCTTCATCCCTTTTCCAGCAACCTGCACTGTGAGGCCCTGCTATGCACTGTGCAGCCTGTCATCCTAAAGTTTCCCCACCAGACTCGCTTCCTAAGCTGCGGCAAAATTTAATTCGGTTCAGATATTTCGGGATTCGAATCGAAAATTTTGTTTTGGATTCAGCCAAAATCCGAATTTTCTTTAGTTTTGGATGGGTTTACAAATATTTGTTGCGAATACCACAGAAAATCATATACAGATATTAATACTAAAGCTGAGTCTCCCAGACCCGAATGGCATTTGGGATCCCAATTTCCAAATTGCAATCAATGTTTTGAAAGTTAAAGGACCCAAAATAAAACCTTTGTCACACATTCATGGTCTTGTAGTCTCCTGAACAGTTTGAATGAAAGTGTATGTTAGGGCAAAAAAATGTACATGCACACCTTCTCATGTTTTATCCATTTAGAGACCCAGCAGGTACAGGCTCATCAATACACTCCTAATTTCTTGTTGTGCAACAAACAGCATTTTTGTGGACTGAATGGTGTCAGTTGTCTTTGGCAAACTTCAAGGTAAGAAATTAGCTAATTATTATTATACAGGATTTATATAGCGCCAACAGTTTGCGCAGTGCTTTACAATATAAGGAAGACATTACAACCACAATACTATTCAAGACAAGATGGTAAGGAGGGTCCTCTGGACTCCTTTCGATAACACAGGCAGTATACAAAGGACGGCTCTGAATGTTTGACATATTCAACAGGTTTTTATTTGCACTCATCATACAGATATAATAACATGTTTTCAATGCTGTATTTATCACACGCATAGTTTGTAAATAATAAAAGTTCATTGTTGGGATTTCCATGTAGTTTAATTTGCATACATGTTGCTGTACCTGGTTCTGCATTTTCCGCCCTCATTAACATGCTAATGAATACATTAAAGTGCCACTAAGCTCAGGAGTTAAATCTTAAAAATGCATTCAAGTACCTTAACTATTAACAATAATGGGGGAACTGGAGCAGAGAAAATCTGGAGCAGATGTGCACTGCAACCAATCAGCTTTTTTGTCTCATTTTCAAATCTTACCTGAGCAAACTGAAGAGAGATGCTGATTGGTTTGCCGTGGGCAACTCCTCCAGATTCTGTCTGCTTCTGTTTTGATAAATTCCCCCCTATGTATCTTATTTGTGTATCACTCATCTCTGAATTGGTGCAGACACTGTCCTTCCTTCTGGAGGGTGGCTACTTTTGTTCCCCATGGTCCCTGTGTGTGTTGTAAAGTAGTCACCGCTCCAAGCTCACTCCTGTGATGGACTACAACAGGGGCGCCCACTATTTTTCGTCTGGAGATCTACTTTTCAAATGACGAGCTCATTGAGATCTACCAACGAAAAAACACCTGCATTCAGGGGCGGGAGGGGGCGTTGGCTCCGCAGGCAGGCCCCTCGCCCACAGTGCGATCCCCTGCATTAGTGCCTGTGTTCCAGTCCAGTGCGATCCGCAAAAATGCTGCGAGCACTATTTTTGCAGATCGCACTGGACCGGAATGCAGGCACTAATGTGCCTGCGTTCCGAGTGCGGGCGATCGCACTGTGGGCGATGCCATTGACTTCAATACAGCTCCACACCCCCTCCCGCACCTGAACGCAGGGAGTCGGCCTGCTTACATTCCAGTACATTACAGGTCCCGGCGTCCTGTCCTCCCGTGGTGCTCGTGTGGCCGATGTTGCACATGGGGTGTCCTGCACCTTTCCATCTGCAGCGTCTGACACATTCAGCCGCACGAGCACCATGGGAGCATAGCCGTAGCCAGCTCCTTTTGCGCCTGAGGCAAGAAAAAAAACAAAGTTTTTTAAATTTATTTTTTACTATTTTTTATTTTCATTATTTATTTTTATTTATTTTAAATTTTCATTATTTTTTTATTTTTTTTAACTCTTGGGGGGGCTTTGGGGAAATATTAGGGGTCTAAAAAGCGCCCTGATATTTCCCTTTTAAAATAGAAAAAGAAATTGAGGACACAAAGTCCTCAATCTTTTTTTCTGCAGCCTCTATTCTAAATGAATGGAAAGCACAGAGGCTTCCCATTCATTCAGAAAATATTTTACTACCAAGCTGTTTCTGAATGGAGAGGAGCCTCTGTACAGAGTGCTTCTCCCCATTGAGAAACTCATGAATGAACGAACGTGATGTAAATCACATCCTGTTCATTCATTTATAACTGGGGACACGCAGAGCCGCTGTGACAGAACGGACGAGCAGTGAAGGGAGAGAGAGGCGCCGGCTGTCAGATCCTGGCCGAGCGTCTCTCTCTCTCCTCACTGCTCTGCATTAGTTAGTGACAGCGGATCTGTCCTCCGCCCTCCCCCGCCGCCGGTTCCTTCACTTCTTCTCGGATCCCCGCTGGGGAGAGCAGTGGGGATCCAGAGAAGCGGCGGGAGGAGA